TTCGCGGTGCCCCTGCCGCTTTGTATGCTCGTTACCGTTTCAATTATTCCTCAACAAACGTTTAGACATCGAGTTTGCTGCGCGCTTTACTCCATCCGCATATGGCTGGAAAATTTCCAAAATTTTCCGGAAAATTTTCGTTGAATTCTGGATAATAGCAGAAAACGTTCCGAAGTCTGGGAAATTTCCCACTTCCCCCCGATTTTTTTTAAAGACAGAAATCTTCCGGAAACTTTCCAGGGCGTCAGCCCTGCATCCGCAACTACACTTTTGCACTTGGCCCGAGCGCTCTTGCGCGGGCTGAATAATCATCGCAAATGGTGTCGAGTCAGCCAGCCTCCTAAAGCGCGTCTAATTATCAGCCATGGCGGCGCCGCCGCCGCCGCCCCGCTTTGTTTTTCTTGCGATCCGCCCTGCCTCGTCTTGCTCGGGGGGCCGGCGGCGGCGCAGGCAATCTCTTAGCAAGGAGAGGAGGCGTCGCCGCGGCGCTGACGCCGCAGGTCAGATTGATGGTCCTTTTGGCCGAATGGATTCCGCGTGCGGTTCTGCTTCCTTGAGCGGCCTCGTCGGCTGTGGGGCGGCGGCCGTTCTCGGTAGTCTCCCCTGCTCATCTTCGCCCGCAACAGCGCGCGTCGCGGCATCTTAAGACGTTTTCATTACTCCCCAAAGAACGATGACAACAACTGAGAGACGAGACGGAAGGGGGCTCTTTCTATAGCTCATTATTTACTTCTCATTGGAAAAGTGCTGGGATATCAAGCCGACTGACCGACACAGTAAATTTGAACCGCGGACTATATGGTTTTGTCTTAACCACATCTTTCACCGGGCGTGGGTGCAGTTTTGCAACTTTTCAGGTGAGAAATTTGCATTTTTACAATATATATGCACATCTAATTCACATGGGTGCTAGTGGTTCTCTGCGCATTTTCTCATCATTTCCGGTACTATGCAAGGGAAAGGGCATAATTACGTCCATAATTCAATGCACTTCTAATCACCTTAAGCAGATGCAAATCTGCATCATGCCGGTTACAATTTTGCATCTTTTTAAATAAGGACAAAAGTAAAATTAGATGCAATATTCGTGACGCAAAGTGCACCTGGTCTGCTTTTAAAAATGTGTTGTTTCGTGTTTTTTTTGTTTTTGTTTTTTTCAATAAACGAAACAAGTCTCTTTGGATTTAGTGTGAGTCAGCCAACGTGGTCGCAAAAGCGGATATCGCATTGACGTCGCATCCAACAAGCCACCCTTCTGACGTCATAACTCCTAAAGTAGTTTAAGACACGGGGCGCG